TATTTGATCACACATAACAAATTCCCCCGACACCCACAGCGGTAAAAGAGGAAGTGAAGAATAATGAAGAAGAAGACACATAACAATGTGTTCATTTAAATTTATTTTCATTTCCGTGTGGGTTGCGTGGCTCCATTTTGGAGAAGAGGAACGGGAACAGACATCCCCCCTTCCCTCCTCCCCCCCCCCCTTCCCCCACCTTTGCCTACAAGCTTTACCAGGTGACTAATTGAGGTTTTGCTGAAATCGGATGTTGGGCCGAAAGAGGCACATATCGCAGCCTAGCTGTAAACTACAACACCGTCCCGCTGTAAGGGCGAATGTAAAATAATTATGTGTTCCCCCCCCCCCTCCACCACCACTGCGGACTGCTACCAGAAAGGTTTGACACCTCGAGATTACGAAAACTAAATATGGATATCAGACCCCAGGGAATATTGTAAATACCCCGTTCAACCTCCAGAGAAGTTCTATAATTAGGGCTCCCATAATAGCCACACCCGCTTGACATAACCGGCACTTCAGGAGAGCTGGGCTAGAGAGAATCCACAAGAAGAGAATCTCCTAGCAAAGAATGGCTGCCATATTACTTTGCTGGTGGCAAATTGTAGCGTCGCTTTCCGTCAAATTTCCTACCCACACGCTGTGACCTCTTCAGATCTTGCTTGGTATTCCCAATAGTCACGGTTTCAATTCTCGAAATTTATGGTTAGCCAATGGCACAACTTTAATAATTACGGTAAGCCTAGTCGTAGAAATTAGGGCCCCTATTTTCGAGTGCCTATGATTAGGTAGAAATTTATTCCTGGGTATAAACGTTAAATATCTCATTTATTGCCTCCTAAAATTGCTGTAGTGAAAAATTGCTGTAGTGGAGGCTGCGGAGAAGTGGTTTTATGAACGAATGGTGAGAACATCAAAGGTAGAAGAAAAAAAAATAGTAATGAAGATGTTTTGAAAGAAACAGTCACACGAAGACAAACTGTAGTACATCGTGACGGTGGAAAAGTCGAAAGGGGGTAAGGCAGAGAGAGAGAGAGAATATGCTGGCAGTCTAGTATTATGGCATGGAAGATCGTCTGTGTCAGAACTGACTGAAAGTACACGAGACAGAAGGTTGTGAACAGACATAGATACCAACGTCACAGAGCATGGACTCTAGAGGATCATCTGCGTCTGACCTGACTGAAACTATTCGAGACAGAAGATTGTAGATAGTCATAACTACTAATGCTCACAGCACTTACAATAAGAGGAAGAAGACAAGAGACAGAAGGTTGTCGACAGACACAACTGCATACAGCAAGGACTATACATATGCTTTCTCAGTGACTCAATGAGTTTGCTGGAGAAGGGCTGGATCCAATGACAGTAGCTTGGAGTCTCTAAAGCGGTCGGGGCTGACTCATATTAGTTTCATATTTGTGCTAGGGCATTAATAACACCCTGGTTGAAGGAGAAGTAAAAATGCAGTGAAGGATAAGAAAGCAAACACCAGGCGTAGGCGAAAAGTAAAAATCAAGATGATCTTGAAGAACACAGAGTGGCAACTACGATAGCAGAGATGTGGTCAGAAACACCAAAGAAACATCATGGCAGGAATACAGCGAAATGTTAAAAGCTGAACAAAAAAGTGCTACGAAACACTTGTATAAGCAAATTACAATTATGAGAGGTAAAACAAACAATATGACCCAAGAAAAATTATAAATGACAAGACGAGAGTCCCCTTAAATGAACCACAAAAGTTCTTACAGAGATGGTGTCAAAATTTCAATGATCTACTTGTACTTAATTTAATTAGAAAAACAATCCACAACACAAGAAAACAACAGCTAAAAAACTGAAAATTCAGAACCAAGCAAAACAATCGCAGAAAAAAGAAAAGCGGCACCCTCCAACAAAGCACCAGGCTCTGGCGATTTACAAAACAGAGTTACTCAAAGCACCAAAAGAGATAGGTGTAAAATGGAAGCACAGATCGTTCCACCTAACCTGGACAACACAACAAACACCGAAGGACTGGAGAAATGCATTAACAAGATAACATAACATAACCCTTGACCTGAAGGGGTCGTGGAAGTGTATTGATGGAAGCACTAGAACATACACCCGCCATCGTTCTCTGTCTTCGGCTTGATGTAAAAGTGTATGATGGCTTAGTCCTGTCCATTTCTTGATGTTGTCATTTCAGGTTCCTCTTTGCCCTCTTATTCGACTACTCCCCAATGTTGCTTAAAGAACATTCTTTGCAATCTAATCGGTGGCTATCAATATCAAATATGGACACTGTCTTCAGAAAGCAGAAGGAAATAGTCCCGAGGGAAGTGAAAATGTTTATGTACTATGTAAGGTGTAACGGGGAAAGATCGACTTAGGAACGAGGATAGCAGTAGGAGAGTCGACACAGAACCAATACTGAACATTACAGGTAGGCAACAAAACAACTGGTATAGCCATGTAACAAGACTGTCATCAGACAGCACCGTGTGTGTGTGTGTGTGTGTGTGTGTGTGTGTGGAAAGGGGGGGGGGAGACTTACTGCCTCCTTAACATGCATAATGTAAGAATATACTAATTAGGGGCTTCCTTCGAAGTCTGAGTACATCTGCCTGAGAGGCAAGGAACCAAAAGTCTGCATAATCCAGATCTGTAAAAAAATATTTTTTTTTATTTTTTTATCAGATTGACATCATAACACAAGGGTAGTAATCCACAAGTACTCCATTCTACTTCTAACTCAAGTCTGAGTCTGAAGAATCTCAGCGCAGTGCGCAAACTCTGTAGCACCGGCGAGGATCCTGAAATACTTTGGGTAGATTTTTAATTCCAAATTGTGCCCAGCCTGTGCCGTTAGGCCACTCTTTCTGATTTCCATATGCAAGGGATTTTTTTTTTTACATGCGCAACAATACACACAGGCGTCTGTTGTTACTACCCAGAGGCCAGGAGAAAGCCCACATGAAAAAAATCCCAGCCTGAACCCAGGACCTGCAGCACTTGAGGTGGATGCCATGCCTCAAGACCACTGCACCCCCTGGTCAGTCAAGTAAAGGTCCCTTTACACACCAGTTGTGAATCGGGCATTTAAGGTCAGACTTATATTTTTATAGGCCAGTGGTGATGGGGTCAGCAGCACACCAGGGCCACATCGTCTGCAAAAGCCAGCTCTGATATACAGATTGGTCTCATCTTCCAGTACCCTACACCTTTGCATCAAGGCTGGGTCGGCCAGAGAGAAGATCATGCTTGACAAATATCTGGCACCATGTGTGTTTAAACTCACGACCTTTGAACCCGCAGGTTTGTAGCGTCTAGCCGCTACACCATCGCAGCTCCCAACACAATCTGATACTAGAGCATAAACAGCATTTCCCCCACAATCACTTTCAGCAAGGTATGAGCCAGCACAGGAAACAAAGAAACAAAGAAACAAAGGAACAAAGAAACAACAAAACAGTCTATGATTCAAAAAGCCAAACTGATAAATTAATTAGATCTATCTGAGCAGTCATTATAGTAATATGGAGCTGGCAGGTGTGTGTGTGTGTGGGGGGGGGGGTGGGAGGGGTAGGGGGGTTATAACAATCACGCTGATGTGTGTAAACAGTCACTTGCAGTCGGTCGCATCTAAACACCTTGTAGCCATCTGGCAAAGTCTTAACTTCCACAAGGAACAATCAGTTTTCCAGCATTTATCAAACAAAATAATTATTAACTTATTAATCAATTTGATCTATGTACGGGGGGAAACAATACTTGCCAAAACGAAATGGAGGAAAACAAAAAACAGACATATTAATGTTTGGTGCCACATTTACAATCCTTGTAGTCATCTGGCAGAGCGTTTGTCTCACAGTTGTGGAACAATGAGTGATTTCCATCTCCCTAATAAAATTTGATGTGCATACACACCTGAAGCTCTGGAACAAGACTAAAGTCCTGAAGCAGACAAACAAACAGAACTTTCTGCTGGAATTTACAGCCGGTGAATGTGAAGAAGACAACGAAGACGATATTCCCACTGTACGGCACAGAAAAGGCTTTTTATTTGTAATTAAAAAAATTTTGTGTAAAATGTCAGGGACCCTATTTACATTATTAGCACATCAAGTACATGGGGATAGATCCATAATTTATTAGCACTCCAGAGGTGACATGGTCAGCATCTCGCCGACCGCCTTTATTTCCTCTGGTACTTCTTAGTGCCTATTTTAGGCTGGGTCGATATGGGAATAGCGAGCACTGATATTTGTTTTTTCTTCTCCATTTTCTTCATCTTCCCCTCGTTCATGCAACAACACTTCCGGTAATTAATTTCCACAATTTTTCACAATTCCTTTGTATGATATTCCTTTTTGTTTTTTTACTGATTTATTTTCGTTGATAAAGACTTTGGTTGAAACATCTGGTTGTATTTGTGCGAGTCGTTCCCCTTTCATCCACTGAGCTGTTTAATCATACAGTGCAGGCCGCTTATGGTGATATCAGATGTGGCAAATTTCTGTTGTAAAGAACAATCAGTGCTTTACTTGGCATCCATTTAAAGCTGGGCTGGTTTGGGAATCAAGTTAATTTATTTTTTAATTTTCAAAATTTTTCAATTTGAACCCACGAGCTTCAGATTTGCAGAAAAGCTTCAGCCCGCTACCTCACAGCAGCTGTTGAGGAAAAATAGCAAACTACTAAACATAAAATAGTCTAGTAAATCCACAAACATCAGGAGTTGGTTTTTGATGTCCTGTAATGTTAAATTGACATCACAGGGCTCAGGACATTCATATCCCTAGCCCTAAGCCTTCTCTCTCTCTTCCCCTCACTCTGTGTGTGTCTCTCTCTCTTTCTCCCTCACTCTCTCCCTCTCTCACTCTCTTCCCCACTCTCCCCCTTGTTTGTCTGTCTGTCTGCCTGCCTGCCTGCCTACCTACCTACCTACCTATCTATCTCTATTTCATATTTTGAATAATCAACTTCAAGTAAAACCTGGACACTGAACCTACCTCGATCTTGACTTCTGCAACTAGGCGGCTCTCAATGTCAGTTGGAAAATCCTTTAGCTGCTGTAAGCAAACATAAACAAAACTCCCTCTGAAAAGGCAAAAGATCCTCCAGGTAATTGACAGATTTATAAAGGTAGGACTGGTTGATTGGTTGGCTGATTAGCTCATTCTTTATTTGATCAGATCATGGGTCATTTTTCAATTTGCTATTCAGAATTCTGAGGCCTTGAGGTTCATTTCTGCAAATATTAACTGCCCCTACTTATCTATGTTACCGGCCTTGTATTTCCACTTAGGGACTCCAATTATTTGTAGATGTGTCTGTATATTATCTCTCCATCGTCCTCTGGTGTGCCTCGTGATTTACTCCCATCAAACTCTTTTGTGTATGCAGTTTTTGTCTGTTATCTGCCATTTCAACTATATGTTCCAATCACTGCAGTCCATTATCCCTCATGATGCAATAATTAGTGGTGATTTAAACAGATTATTAATTTCTTTTTTGCTTTTCACTCTCCATTATCCACTGTTTGCATCTTTGATGGATCCAAAGATTTATTGTAAGACTCTGGTCTCAAAAATTGTGATTTAAATAAATTTTGAATTTCCTAGTTGTTTCCCACTCTCCATTCTCCGCTGTTTGAATCTGTGATGGGACTCTGTTCTCACAATTTTCCGTAGCACTTAGAACTATCAGTTACTTTTTTTTTACCTCCACCTCATTAGAGCAAACCAATAAATTCTATGCCTACTGTTTTACTGAAGTCCATGAGGGAAAACGGTGAACAGTGTCACTGTAACAAACCATGTATGATGTTACAGATGACTAAAAACTAGTGGCCTTCTGCCAGAGAACTGGTGGTGCCTTATGCCATACTGCATGTGCAATTGATGATTTATTGCAACGTAACTAGTAAGGTACTATTACAATTTTCCACTTTACCTTAATTTAATGGTAATGTAATGTTAACTTATTCTATTTCTGTAAAACAAAAAATAATTATCCTATATCGTTATTAGGAGTCCCCATGGCGGAGCGGCTAGACACTTGCCGCGGATCGGAAGTCATGGGTTCACTCCCTGGAGGAGCCAGACTTTTTTTCAAAAATGACCTTGACACCCGGGTCAACCCAACCTTGAGTGGGTACCAGGTGCAGTCCCGGGAAGTAGAGGTGGCCGGCGTGATGCTGACCACATCACCCATCTTGTGCCGATTGGTCTATAAACATATTGGTCTAGCCCTATATGCCCTATACGCCTAAAGAAGTGGAAGAGGGTCCTTTACTACCTACGTACTACATCGTTATTTCCATTAAGAGATGAACTGGTTTATTTTAATACTTTCTATTTGAATCAAATGCACTAGTTGTTACTTATTACATTTGTCTTATTACATTTGTCTTATTACATTTGTCTTATTACATTTGTGTGATTACAATGTAGCTGTCCTGTAGTGTCATTTAATTTAGCAAGTGATCTGAACTGGTTTCATCCAATACTTCTTATTCTGTTTTAGCTAGTTCAGGATGGACCGTACATAAATCAGTTGCTGAGTTCTTTGAATGACCATATTACCAGCTGAGTTTGATTTGCTCATAAAAATACAGACCTACTATGATATCCTGGGACAATATGTTTATCCGTGTCAAATGTTACCAAAGAAAGAAGATGAAGATGTCTGTGTGTGAGTGTGTGCGTGCACATGTGTGCATGCATGCATCCATGCTGATGACTGAAATAAGAGTATGTTAACTTACATTTGGCATCCCTGGCTTGTCTAGCCACTCATGGCATACTTCAGTAGCAGTCAGTCCGGATATGCTGAAATCATTTTATTGTGGACAAATGCATTTGTTTAATTTTGTGCAAACACAGTTTTTTTTCTGTCACTGTTCATCACAGTTCTTCTAAGTCACTTCTAAAGCTAGGAATCTATAACGGAACTACAATGGCTATTGCAAAATCATTTGTTATGTGGAGCCTAGAAAGCCAAGAGGTAAAGAATGGGTACTGTTGCTCAATATGATACACATTAGGTAACTCATAAGTGCTCCGTTCTACTTCTAACTCAAACCTGAGTCTGAAGCTTCTCAGCTCAGTGCACAAACTCCATAACATCAGCGAGGATCCTTAAATACTTTGGGTAGATTTTTAACTTCAAATTTTGCCCGGGAAATGCCATTAGACTACTGTTTTTTATTTCCAACTGCCAATGGATTTTTTACACATGCAGCAAATACACACGAGCGTACGATCCCACATGAAAAAATCCCAACCTTCACCGGAGTCAAAATCTGGAACCTTTTTACTCAAGGTGGATGCCATGCCTCGAGACCATTCAGCCCTCCAACATAAAGAGTGGTTGAGCACCTAGGCCAAACATAAGAGATAAAGGTCAGTGTAGGAAAAGATGCCCTGTGGTGTTATACACATAGACACAAAAGTCATGACTGCTAGTGAATGTTCTAATTACTGATATTTGGTTTTATGCATTGAAAAACTAAGTTCAGAAGTCATATTCTAAAAAAAAAGATTAAAAGACTAATAAGTGAACTTTCTCTTTCTCTGTTTATAATTATACATACACACTTATACATTTACACATATACATTCAGAAAACTACCAAATGTAAAACTGTGTAGTAAAACCACAAACAGCCATCAAATGCTGAGGTTGGTTTCAAAATATCATGTGAAGGATTTGCCACTAACTTTTTTTTTTAAATATCTCTATCACTCTCTGTCTCTCTCTCTCTCTCTCTCTCTCTCTCTCTCTCTCTCTCTCTCTGTCTCTCTCTCTCTCTCTTTATCTCTCTCTCTCTCTCTTTATCTCTCTCTCTCTCTCTCTTGTCTCTTTATCTCTCTCTCTCTTTATCTCTCTCTCTGTAAGTATGTGTTTCACACACACAAAAGTAAACACACACACAAAAAAAGATGACTAAATCGACCAAATGATCAGTTTATTCCCTACCGGCTGCTTTTAAAAGATTTACCACCCTGAGATTTAAAAAAAAATATCTCAATATGGTTAGCACACTACCAGGGCAGATCCCAGATCATTCCTGTTCATCCTCTACAAAAATTATAACAAGGGCACCTGTAATGGCCACACCGAACCAGTGTAACCTGCAGTCATGCATGGGTAAGGAATTGTTTTTTTTTAATCCTCTCATCAGTGGGTGTGAACAGCAGACTAACAGGCATGTATGCTAGCTGCTCAAGTAACATGTTTAAACAAAAGAATAACAGTAAAATGAAATTTAATGTCATTGCAGTTCCAACTTCATAGCATCCCATAATTGCTTCCTTCCTGTGCCAAAGAAAATCACACCAAATGCTCATTGCTGTCCCTTGTGAAAAAATTAACATAGCCTATGGTCTCAACAAAGCCAGTAACATACACAAATGGTCTGAAATGCAGTTCATCATCGATGGAAGCAGCAGTTACAACACATCAGCAGTTGCACAAGCGACTAATTGTATACGGCACTACCAGTTCTGTGACACCAAGTCATTCACCATTTTCTGTTTCTGAATCTCAGTTTACAATGTAATACACCGTGGAAAAGATTTCCAAACAAAATCTGCAGCTCACAGTACCATACTATGCATTCAACTCAATAGCTGGACCCCTTCAGCAGCAAAAACTTGCCATGACTAAAAATAGTAAACATGCCAATCTGCCAGTGACCGGAGTAAAATCTACACCATCTCATGCATATCTTACCTCAAATTGGGGCAGTGCTCAAAAAAGAAGTCTAAAAGTTCCTGTAAATAGAGATATACAGAGTACCGTTGATCATCACACAAAAAATTACCATGATTGTTTTCTTCTTCGCGTTCACCGGCTGTAAACTGCAGCAGAAAGTTCTGGTTGTTCGTCCTCTTCTAGACTTGAATTTTGTTTCAAAACTTCAGTCTTGTGTGCACATTCATTTACAGATATGGTTTATGTATGTAGAGACTGTATGTATCTTATTCTTTAGCATTCAAGCCCTTGTGGTTCACTGATGCAGACATCACTTGCCTCCATCATCTCTTGGGTCGGACCTCTTTTTTCCAGTTGGTAACTCCAGGTGCTTGTGGGTCTGCCTGTATATTGCCACACCACCATTTGGATTATCTTGCAGTCTACTCCAATTCAAGTCTTTTGTGTATGCAGTTTTTGTCTCTCTGTTATCGGTCATTCCCTCTTTATGCCACAACCATTGCAGTCTATTAGCCCTCATTATGCCAGTAATGTATTTTAAATGTGGTGCAAATATATCCTTTCATTGTTTCACATAAATGTATATATCTTATGTGTTACAGGAATTCATTAACTCTTTGAGTCCCAAGGAACGCATCATATGTTCATAGGTTACTGCCTAGAAGCCCAATGAACGCATAATGCGCTGATTTTACGTCTCTCTTGACTACCCCTTGGGCCTGTGATGCTAAACACTCTGGGACTCGAAGATTTAATAAGATCCATGAATAACACTGTATATCCAAGATAAAATACTGGGCCTCCAAGGGTAATCTTAGAGCTAGGTTGAAGTTAACATGTCTTCCTGATCAAGTGCCAAATGTAAACCCTTGAGGACAGTGTTGATGAGCTATCCTTACCCCTCCTCAACCTCAGAAGCCACAGAGATGTACAAGAAGTACCATAATTCACCTATATGGAGTAAAGCAAAAGGGCTATTCACTTTCCAGTGGCACATCAGTCATTAACTGGTAGCTAGTTCAGGCTGGGTCCACCCTTGAATCAAGGTCAATGTTAAGAAAACTCTGCCTCAATGAGGATTTTAACCCTAGACTTTCGGCCAGGAAATAAGTGTCTAGTCACTATGTTACGGCAGCTCCCTCATATGTGGGAGAGACCTAATAATGAAGAGGCAGACTTGATGATGATGATTAGGAGAATGAAGAAGGTGATGATGATAATAATGATGATGCACAACAGCACAAAGAGAATAGATTAGTTTCCCAAACCAGAAGGTAAAATCCACTGGTAGTTCCCTAACTTACATAAGACTGCAGGATACACCCACCTAGTGTAGCTCAACTGGATGCCCTATTCATAACTTCACTGGAGCCTGAACAGGGTATCTAGAATCGGCCTTACTGGTCTGCCATTCAGACTAAGAATTGTAAATCTCAGAATGCTATGGTAAACCTTAAGAAGCAGCCCTGAGGCGACAAAGCAATCAATCGATAGAACATCTGCATGCAATGGAAAGATGGGGAGTTTATGTAATCTGGTAATTTTAATTTCAGCTTCATAGCAAACGGGTCACCACTCAGTTAATCCGCTCCTGTGCCAACGAAAAACACACAGAATGTTTATCACAGTCCCTTGTGGAAAGACTGACAAACTGCTCTCTCGGCAAATCTAGCATAGACTCGCATTAAAAGCATATGGTAGCCATCCGAAGTGCTAACAGAAACAGTCCAACGTTAGAAATGCAGTTCAGCATTGATGGTAGCAGAAGTCATTAAAAGATCAGCAGTTGCACACGCGATCAATTATAATCAAATAATGGCCCCACCAACATTGCGACAACCAGCATTGCGCCATTTTCTGAATCTACAAATCACACCACCACGTTGGTCAGTCGAAAAACATTCCAAATGAAATCCGCAGCTCACAGTGTCACGCCATGCACTCAACTCAGAGGCTGGGCAACGAAACTATATACTTCAGTTTACAAATGGAGCAAAAAAAGCAACGGCCACAGTCTGGCAGAAGCAAAAATGTTTGCCCCGGCTCAAAACAGTGGCAGTGCCTAGTGTCCATTTGGATCTGAAGCATTATGTGAGGGTCAATAAACGGTCACCCCAGCAGTACCCTCACTATTAGCTGGGGAATGGATTTAGGACATTACATCCACCAGCAAGCCTCGCCCCAACAGCGACCTGACTGCCTTCGTTAACGACTGTTCACCCAACAGCCATGCAGTTCTTTGGCATGAAGGAGACACCTTGAACTTGGGTTTCGGACTTACGGAGTTTATGTAAACACTAAGAAATAGATATATAGATGTATAATGATCAGTCCCAAAAAACAAAAAAAATTAACGCACAGTTCTGAAAATCTAATAAAACTGACTGACTGACTGACTTTCTACCCCACCAGGACATCACACAAGCAATAAACACCCGATGACACAAAATGTCACCATGTGGATGAGGATTGCCGTGGAGAGGTTCCAGAAACTGTGTTCAGCCAATATGCCATATTTATGGCCAGGCTATATTTCGGCCCCTGGCAAAAGCCAGAGTAGGGCTTCAAATAACGAAATATTTCATCCTAAAAAGCACGGGAAATAATTCATCTAAAAAAAAACATATTCGACTCAAATTAAACAAAGAATAAATAATCCACCCAAAAAACTAGTGAACACAAATTACTCATTAGATATACAGCACCTGGCAATTCTCTGGGTGATCTAGCAACCCAATCAAAGACTTCTATGACATGACAGTACAATGAGAATGGTATACTTTTGGGAAACAATTAAACTGCTGCAAAAGGTCAGTCATAACATTCTTAGACTGAAGTTGATTAACTTGTTCATAAATTATGTCCCTTGAGACCTGTGCTATTGTATTGTTTTCTTCTAAAAACATTCAAAATTAATTAGTTTGTTCACAGTATAATATATTACTGATACTACTGCTGCTACTGCTATTGTTGCTAACAAACAGGCCACCATGAGTCCCTGGGCACCATGGAGCTGTGCTTCTGGTTTTGGTAACACCGTCTTTGTACAGATACAAGGGTTACGATTTGTATGTCAGGTTGTCCCCTCAGTCCTGAGCACCTAAATGGACAGTGGAGAGGCAGCACTTTACTAACTGGGAGCTGCTCAGCTGAGGCAGGTGGTAGCTGTCCAATGAGATTACGATGATTGCTCCCCCCACTGAAAGTAACCTCTGGCACCTTGTTCTACGCCAATCGGTCACAGGCTATAACTGGTAACGGCTGCTTCCTGTGTTGTGTCGAAGCGGTTACATCTCCATGCATAGGCCTGGGCATGCTGAAGTACAGGCTGTTGCCCAGCAGCAGGTACCCACTCTCTATGTTGCTGGTAATACTAAGGGAAAGGCAAATGCCAATACAGAGTGGCATCAAAGACACTGCTGGAATTGCTAAAGCAGCAGTGTAAACACTGCTAGACATTCTTAGGGATTCCAGCTCTGGATTTTTTGGGGGCGTTTACTCCTAAAGCACTTTCCCTAAATCGGGTATTGCCACAAGGCAGTGGAGGTTTCAGATCAGAATTCTGTTCTCCTAGATGAGCAGCACTCCCATGCTGAAGAGCCCCATATATTTATTACCAGTACAACTAGTATCTCTACTAATGCTCCTATTACTGCCACCATAATTACTGTTGCTATACTACTGTTAATGACCAAACTATGTGTGGAAGACACTAATAATATAGTAACATTTAAAGGCAGAAAGTCAGACCCTTTTAGAACAACATCTGGTTTAAAGCAAGGTGATGCCCTGTCCCCACTTCTTTTTAACTTCGTCCTGGAGAAAATTATAAGGAAATTGAAAGAAGGGTGTACTAGAGGAGAAACTATTAGAATACTTGGTTATGCAGAGGACATTGACATTGTTGGAGGAAATGAACTAGAGACTGCAAAACATTGACTCTCTTAAAAGAAGAAGCTGACAAAATAGGACTAGTTACCAATCAAGATAAGACTAGTTACCAATCAAGATAAGACTAGTTACCAATCAAGATAAGACAGAATACATCAAGATAATATCAGAGAAAGGATAACAACTCACAGTGCTGCTGATGATGATTATGTTGATGGTAGTGACACTGATACTTTTGTGACAAAACAGAAATATTTTCAAAAAACTGAAACTGTTGCAGGATATGACAACATAAAATAAAACAAAAAATGTAAACATTCTGAAGAAAAACTAACTAGCAAAGACAAATGGACGTCCACATAAATAAAAGTCCTTGCAAGGAAAATACAGTTGCCTGTGCTTATTTCTCTGCAGTATTTTAAGATATACTTTGTTTAAATTACACCTCTGTGTTTTGTATGTTTCAACAGCAGAAATTTGTGACAATAATGACTGAATGTCTTCATACCTGAGAAGAAAAGAGCTTCCCAAGGTGTAAGGATGTAAAGCTTCTCAGAGTTTGCAGAAAGATTTCTTTTCCAGCAATGTGTTCCAAATATCTTAGCAGAAAAAATCCCTGCAATATAAGATTTTCTGATAACAGCCAAAGGATTGTCAATCACAAAAATTTCAAGATGCTGGCTTTTATATAACTGTTAACATGCTTTCACACATTTGCTTTACATTCTGTCCTCCTCCTCCCCCGTCCTTCCCTCCTCCTCTTCTTCGTCTTCTTCTACTTCTTCATCTTCTTCTTCTTCTTCTTCTTCTTCTTCTTCTTCTTCTTCTTCTTCTTCTTCTTCTTCTTCTTCCTAGCATTCACTAGCTGAAAATTATGGATACTTCTTAGTAGGGCTGTACCAAATAGTGATTTTCACTATTCGGCCGAATACGAATAACGGGACCAACTCATCGGCCGAATACGAATACGAATAGTGTATAAAATATATCTTTTTTTTTTAAAAACCACACATTCATAATGTCAAATGTACGCTGAACTTTTACTTTACATAAAGTAGCACAGAATAGTAATCTTCTGTAGCATTCTGAGCCCTTGAGGTTTACTGCTGCAGACATCACTCATCTCCATCCATCTCTCTGGCTGGCCTTATCTTCACAATTTGTGACACCAGTTGTTTGCAGGTCTGGATGGACATTATCTCTCGAACTTCTTTTTTGTCTGCCTTGTGGTCTACGCCCATTCCTCTTTCTGGTGTATACAGTTTTTACTTCTCTGTGATCTGACATACTTTCAATGTGCCCCAACCATTTTAGTCTGTTAGCTCTCATGATGCCAGTGTTCAATGGTGATTTAAACAGATTAAGTGTTACGTTGATGCTTCTCACTCTCCATTCCCCGCTGTTAGCATCTTTGATGGGTCCAAAGATTTGTCGTAAGAATGTTTTCAAAAACCTGTAATTAGGCATCATCTCTTTCATTTGGGCTTCAAGTTTCAGAGCCATATAAAACGACTTTTTTTATCAACGTTTTATATATTTTGATCTTGGTGTTGCGAGACAGACAATTTAACTTTAGCAGATGTTGAAGGGCATAGTATACTTTATTTCTAGATTGTATTCTAGATTTTATTTCTTTTCTCAGCATGTTGGAGCAGTTGAAGTTTGCACCCAAGTACCTATATGTTTCCGTTCGTTTGATTTTCATATTATCGACTTGGATGTTGCCGAAGTTTATTATATTCTTTCCATGTCTAGTTAGTATTTGTACAGAATAGTTAACATTTAAAAATATTTAATGTTTTGCATCCTTTAGTCAGTCTGTGGTAACTAATAACTAGGAATGAAAGAATACTAAGTATTATAACAAGTAACTAAACTTGGAAATTGTCACTGACAGCTTAGTTAATGCAGGAAAGCTGCATTAGCTTTCAACAAAACCAATCGTTCTATGTTGCCAGCATTAAGGCCGTGTATACAGAAGCGGGTGTAAGGTAACTACTATTCGTATTCGGCCCGACCGCAACTATTCGGCCAAATACCGAATAGTCAATAGGTCTACTATTCGGCCCTGAAGCGAATACGAAGCGAATATTCGGTACAGCCCTACTTCTTAGTGGAAAGTTCTGGTTGTTTATCCACTTCTGGGCTTAAGGCTTGTTCCAGAACAATTAAAATTGGCACAGGCATGGAGCAACATGGGGGGTGACCTGTTTACAATAAAGTTGAAACTGCGATTACCTGATTAAAGAACTTGAGTTCTGCCTGCATGTCCATTTTACAGATCTGGTTTATTTGTAAACAGACTGTTGGTTCTTTGACTTTCAGGCAGATGCACTCCAGCTTCGAAAGAAAAACCTCTAACTAGTTTACTTTTCACAACATGTTGTTTTAGGGGACAGTAGATCTATTTGCTTCCAAAATGGCTCCTAGAGCCACAGGGGGACATGAACACAGCAATACAGATGATGATTGACATGTATGTATACCAGTATCAAACATTATAATAATAAGGTTGTTGCGTATCCTTTACAGGACGTTGTAGAACCAACCCTAACAGCCCCTGGCTGTTGTGTGGTTTCTCTAGGCAAATTTACGTCCAGTAGTTTGCCATTGCTTTCTGGACGGTCGGCTTTCTTGATACCACTGTCGAAACCAACGCAAGGCGCATTGCCCGCAGCTGGGATCGATCCCGGCATCCCGGCATTACGAAGCGAAGCGTTCGCATCGACTTAGCCACAGAGCCGACTATCAAACATTATGTTTTTCTGAAAAAGTGTTATGAATTTAAAATTTATGCTTAGAAGTGGCCTATTCAACCCACTATTTTCAAATTTCAGTTTTTTAGCAATTTTTTTACGTGTGCAGTATACAGATGGTTGTTCCCAGTTGTTCATCTATATCTCAGAAGATCAGCCGACCACCCCAGGATAAGGAAGAGTATTATGTTTAGAGATGCTTGTTCCAAATTTACCGGTTTTTTCCTGTATATAAAATGATTTAGTCTTCTAAATTTTTTTTAAGTTTAAAATTAGGGGTCATCTTATAAAAGTCATGTGATGTTTATTTTCTCAACTTGAGGCTAAATGAAAATATGTGTTCTCTTTTACATGGGGTGTCTTATGTACAGAACAATATGGTAGTTTAATTCAACACTCTTGTAACCCTCAGTGAACAACCCAGCTTCTCTATTTTATTCACTTATTTACAGACATATAAACTCTAAAGCAGTATGGAAGAAGCCACAAGGAGTCTAAATCAATGGTATATCTCCTTTTGCCTAGGAAAACCTCATAACTGGTGCTTGGAGTGTCAGAACTATGTCTGAATTGTTAAGTCTGAACTATGTTTGAACAGTCAGTTTTGTGGCTAAGTCGATGCAAACGCTTCGTAATGCTGAGATGCGGGGTTCGATCCCAGATGCGGGCCATGTGCCTTGCTTCGGTTTCGACAGTGGTATCAATAAAGCCAAGTGTCCAGAAAGCAATGGCAAACTCCTGGATGTAAATTTGCCTAGAAAAACCACGCAACTGCCAGGGGCTGTTGGGGTTGGTTCTGCAACGTCTTGTAAAGGATACGCAACTAACCTTATGTTTGAACTATTAAGGACAGGAGAGGTAACACTAAACACTGTGAGACTAGTGCACTCTGGGATTGTGCAAAACAAGATGGAATGTAGCAGGCAATAAGAATCTGAACTATGGGAGAAAAAAAACAGTGTGATCAGGCCACACAGAGGAAAACATATCTCATTTCAGAGGTAAATAAGCTAGGAGGACATGGAGTAAGCTAAAGAAGACAACAATGAATAGGAAAGCTTGGCATGAGTTAAATGAAAGCCTAAGCTTCATTGGTGGACAGAAAATAAAAGATAAAAGTATCATATTTACCTTGTTATACGGATACAACAGAGACGTGCATAATCAACTACCTTGGCACAATTTACTATTATCAGAATCATTCTATAGACACAGGACAACAAAGTAGATACCTTCAAATAATGAACCTGTGTTACTGTCTTTTCTTGGTTTAAACCATTTTTTACAAACTGCTGCTGTGCACTGGTTACCTCTGTGTTTGTCACTAATCCCATGTTTGGCCTAGTGAGAGAAACAAGACTTGATTTTTCCTATTCTTTAACGTAATTTCTCATCGTTGTCTTCATCATCATCCAGCATTTAATGGGTAACATTGACTACTGTCATTCAATGTGAATTAACCTTTCCACCCCAAAAGAGTCTTGAAAAAAAATTTTGTTTTTCCATATTTTGTTAAAAAAGAAAAGCGTTTTAATTCTCGGAAGCTTTACCCTAAAAAAAAAAAAAACTAGAGAAAGATAAAAAGAAGGAGTAGAAATTGTGAGGCTTAGTCACTTTAAAAAAAAAATATGACCACTGAGCAGACAGGGTGATGATTTCTGTGTCATTGTGGTGTCAAGTCCCTAAAAGAATATTTGATTTTTGATACATTTCAGTCAAAATTTTGCACTAAAGTTATTTTCTCACATGTAGTGCAGTCATCACTAAATACAAATGGAGGAAAGAATTATCTGTTATCCTTCCCTGTGAAGATGAAAAAAAAATATGTTTTCGCTGAAATAACCAAGTGGAGCAAAGTGACATTATTATGATGTCACGATGACAGGACAACAACAACAAAATTTAATTTGTCACCCCCAAATAACATTTTTGTTGTGGTAAAAACAAGCACAGCCACCACCTCTATACACTCTGCATTTGCAGCCTGTACTAGAGCTGTTATATAGTGTAGCGTGCAGTTGAGAGATGACACAGCACACTTGCCAAGTATCTCGGGGATATGTTTATAAATGTAAGTCCTCCACACATACCTGCAGGGTTTTCTCAGATGATAAACCAGGACTGCCCACTCTCGTTGGTAAGGCACATGCTGATGGTGATTATTACCGGAGTAAAGGAAGGTCAACCCAGACAGGAGTACCCAATAAGTCAGGCACAAGTAACAAGTTAGCAACCACAATTTATCTGGCACAAGTTTCATGTCCTGTTGTAACCACCAGTACTACCTAAGAACTCTGTAATAAAATACAACACTCCAAGTATGATGTGGTTAGTGCAATCATATCTTTATCATGGACGAGCACACTGCGATGAAGATGAACTAGTGATCAATGCCTCACTGCCAAGTCTAAGAATGCCTGTGAAATACACTCACATCAGTAATACATTTGCCTGAGAGGCAAGGTATCAATAGTCTGCACACAAATCAGCCAGATCTGTAAAACAGATGTGCATACAACCATCAGGTTCTGGAACAAGACTAAAGTCCAGAAGTGAATGAACAACCAGAACTTTCCACTGAAGTTTACAGCTGGTGAACATGAAGAAGAAGAAGATAAATATTCAACAAGCCACTCATTCACTTGTCTCCTATCACTAAAACACTGACAGACATTAGTTCCAACAACTCAGTTGGTCACTCTTTGACAAATATGTAATTTGTAACAAGAAAGAAAAAAACATTTGAACAAAATGACAGATAAATACCTCAGTATCTGAAGGTCTTCAGAAGTATTGTCCATTTCGGAAGCTAAGATTCTGAACTTCAGCAATGCCCTGACAGTAGATCTTTCACAAGTCTCTTCTTCATTCCACTGTAGAATATTTTTTCAAAGTATGCAGACTGTAGTGTATAAATCATTATACGCATATGTATTAGTGCATTTCAAGTATATAAGCAAACTATCATACCAGCATAGTCACCCAGCCTACCCACTCATAAATGTATCAGTTTATCCATCTATCCATTTAGCTGCTGTCTAGTACTGGATGAATGATGGTCATTGTTTTAATTATTTCTGGTATTTTATAATTTTATTTTTATTTTTGCTGTTAAAATGAAAAATAGGATTATCATTGAAGGGTAAGGAAACACACCTGGAAGTGTTACAGCTGAAATTGAATTAGGAAATGCTGAAATAGATTGAACATCTGTCTGTTCATATGGGTAAAGATTCGATATCACAGCATCAGCACTTAGAACAAGGCAATGTTAGTTCCATGAGTTTCCATACTGATGGGATCTACAGTAATCTGGTGAACTACTTGTCTTGCCTTCCCTCCGAGCCTTGAGTGGCACACATAGCCTGCAGACGCTGTGCGGCTACAGGTTTTCAACATTTTTCCATTTTACTTCTTACCTCATCCCACAGGTGAGAGATCACCTCTGTCTTGTGCAGATGCAGTACACTCCCAAGTGAGGCCAGCCCAGTCAACATATCTGCCTGCTCATTTCCAAACACATCAACATAGCCTGGGCAAAATAACCACTGGACTCTCCCCACCTGCAACCCATTCCACATGAAGAAAGCCTTTCTGTTACTCGGACCCATGAGAGAAGCAAAGGCTAGGATTTTCCCTTCTTCTTCTAGTCTTCCTCCATTTACCTCAGTGAAATGTTGGGAGGTTAGAAGACATAATGATGAGCACCACTGTACAGAAAGTTCAATCTTCTACCAGTCGGCTGGACTTGTCTTCATTTTTAAGTTACACTTTTTATATTTAGCCATAATCTTCATAAAACTAAACAGATATCCTTCATGAGCAAAGTCTGCTTCACCAGCTGAACAAAATGTTAAATTCCCAGAGTACGATAACATGCTTCTTTTTCCCCCCTCTCTCATCCTGGATGCCTCGCAGTTTCAGGGCCGAAAGAGATCTATGGAATTAACCCTTCTCTGGTCCATTTGTGAGATTTCTTCCTTTCAATAAGTTACATCTAAACATCAAAATAAAACTATACTGATGTGAAAAGATGAAATTAAATTAAACATTACCATGTCTCACCATGGCCTTTACAAACTAAGTCCTTAAGCAGGTGGCAATGAACTGTCAAACATGGAGAGCTATGACCTCTGCCCTATGCGCCGCCCTAGGTCCAAGAGGAAAGACTAATTAACTAGCTAACTAATTATTGTCTTACCTGCATCACTGCAGCATGGATTATGTCCTCCAAGTAGCAACAGATCCCTTCAGTCAGCCACTCTTCTGTCCAGTCCTTAGGTCCAGTCAGAATCCCAAACCAGGTGTGGCATACCTCATGTGATAGTCTGTAGAGCATGCTGAGGTCAGGACACAGTAGTGATTGAGACAAGAACATCAGATGAGGGCTGAAAATGTAATTGATTTTTTACAAATCTACAATGTATAATTCCGGCGTGATGATGACCAAATCACACATCTTGTGTCGATTGGTCTATCAAAAAAAAGGACTAGCCCAATATGCCCTACATGCCTAAAGGCGAGGAAAAGGGACCTTTACTTGACTTACAATGTATAATTTTTCATTTGTATGACCATTCTCATGGTTTGTAAATAGTGGCAAGAGAATGAATCATAACTAATGAGAATAAAGACGGTGAATATCAGCATTTAGGTAGGAAACATCAAGGCTTGTACCAGTTGAAGTTCAGACCCTGATACTTAAAGGCAGAAGAAAGATAAGAGAAACAAGTTTGAGGCAGATAAGCAAAAGGTCAGGAATCAAATGGGAGGATAGCATCAAGAAATAGATCAACAGAAGTCTGAGAGTGTACAACCAGGCAAGAAACAGAAAGTATTGGAGATCCACTGCAGCCAACCTTCAATGTGGAGACAGCACTTGAGTAACTGACTGAAACATCACTGGGGACTTTACTTTTGACATTCACAGTGTAAGTTTCTTTGATTTCTTCTTAACTCTCTCACCCTGGTCATCTGCAGAGAACAAAGTGAGTCTTCTTCTTTTTCTCCCCTTCCTCTTTTACCGCTGTAGGTGTCGAGGGAGATATAAGGTTCTGTTTCTAGCTCTTCTGGCCGCCTCGACCATAGGCACATCGTGCTGTTGTAGAGTTTCTCTGATGTTATCCTTCCATCTTGTTCTTGGTCTACCTTGTGCTCTACGTCCTTCTTCTCTTTCCATGTATGCTTTGTATGGTATGGAACAAAGTGAGTAAACAATAAAAATGAATGCAGCATAGAATCACCTGGCTTACATCTCTTGGAGCCCGTAAACTAATTATAGCATGACACATAGACCCCTGTGACCTGGTTGGACAGTAACCACTATAGCCAATGGGAAAATATGATGTAGAAATTTCTATAAATAAAGCCAGTCTCTTAAATGATATTTCTAGTAAATTTAGTCATTTTCTGACATGCTGAACATCTGCGCAGATACATTGAATTATGTTGCAGAACCAACCCCAGCATCTTTTGGCTGTTTTTTTTATATTTTTTTATAGGCCAATGTTTACGTTCAGCAGTGTGCCATTGCCTCTGAATGGCCGGCTCTCAGTACCACTCTCGAAACCAATGCAAAACAATTTGTCCGCAGCTGGGATAGAACCCAGCACCCTGGCATTACGAAGCACATTTGCATGAGTCGGGGAAGCGGCTCTTAAGGGAAAATTGTACCAACTGGAAGTGTCAGTTCTGTGGTTTCGCAAGGTGAAAGGGTTAAAGAGACTTTATGTTTTTTTTAAATAACTATTACTATTTTAGAATATTTCATATAAACAAAAGTTACATATTGTCAGGATTGTGTTTGATCATATTCGCTGACTTACCTGGCCAAACCTAAACTGTCGAAACACTGAGGTACAAGAAGAATGTCCAAATGTTTCAAAGGAAATGGTCCAAGTACTGAACTGAGGGCCTCAAAGCACAGAGGTAAATACTTTCCTAGCTGTACAACCATTGCTTCATGAAGACACGCAGGTGAGAAAAGGCGGCAATGAGGCATTACAAATCTGAAAGGTAACAAGAGAAAAAATCATCAGTCTCATTATGATTATGTACTGAGCATTTTATTTCTATTGATATTTTTCCAAATGTACAAATACATAGACTGACATATGATAAGACCATGGGTGATGATAATCATACCTATCTGGATGTGGATTATCCACAAGGGATGGATTGTTGATCTCTGTGACTGACCAAGTGCCAATAGCTAATGCAAATGTGGATGCAGGTACCGGATAACTGCTTAGGAAGTGGAAGACCTTTTCACCATCTGAAAATATCATGGAAAACATGAACAAAAAATGTGATACAATAAAAATGTTATGAATACTCTATAGCTATAGGTAAGCTGAATTTCTGTGACCTATCTAAAAAAACAAAATGCAACATTTTTTCTTCTGTGATTAAAAGGATGGGAAATGAGATTACTTTTCTATTTAAAAGATCATGTATATATCATACAAAGGATGATGACAAATGACAAAGTTTACTGCCTCATCACACAACATAATGGCACCTATAAGCCTCTTTTCACAACCATGAAAAGACAAAAAATACTATGCTACAGACATGTAACAAGATCTACTTGCTTTTAAAACAAATGCTATATAGGTCTTTGAAAAGTGGAAGAGGAGAAGATGCAGCACAAGAAAGACCCAGATGAAGAATTTGGCTGAATGGACAGGCCTCAACATGCAAACATCAAGTCCAATGCATCAAACTGACAGAGGTGGGGAGAACTGCTCAGTCAGCAACCAGTGACCCAATAACATGCAGTCTTATGGAGAAAGATGATGATGATGAAAACAAATGTGATGATTAACATCTTATAATGTGCAGACAAAAACAAAGAGATGAGCTACCTTTTATGAATCTGAAACTATCTGAAAATATTAACAGTCTGAAACAACATTTGAAACTATATTTCATGAGTGTAATTTAAAAAAAAAAAAACTTTTGAAATCTTATCCAAGCTCTAATGATCACATAACTAAAGAGTTGAGCACATACACTTCACATACTTGCATTCAGACATATGTCTGGCACTGCTTCCCCTGTCATGACCACAGCCACTTCTTCTGTATGTGAATCTGTCAGCGTGACAGAACAATGCCAGGTTGACATGGCCTGGGGAAGATCCTGGCACGGAAACAGTGATCGGTTGTTCAGCAGGTGTCCTACCGTGAAGACACAGGGTCTGAAAACACAACATGTCCAACTGTTAATATTGAAAATCCATGAGAGAAATACTTAGCTTGCTCAGTCCTAGATCATATACACAAAGATGAGATGAGTTAAGTATTGACACTTTCAAAAGTTCTCCATTGCCATCTTCAGCTGCTAGAGAAGAATTCAAATTCTGAAGGTACCAGTAGCAGTCTTACTGTATCACCTTCTTGCCTTTGCTTTGGCTGTCGACCAAATTGCCTAGTCAGTCCCCACTGAACCCTTCTCTCCAAACCAAAATGATTCATGTTTCTGCATTGTTCCCTCCCTTCCAAAGGATACTGACCACCTCTAGCTTGTCATGCATCAATTCACCACCCAGTGGTGCAGTATCAGCCAATCTGTCTGCCTGTTCCTTTCCCAGGATCATAATCATTATCAGCAGGTGCCATGCAGCAAGTGTGAGCAATCAATCATGGTTCACCCACATGATCCTCGTCTTGGAAGAGGTCTGTATCCTTGTCTCCAGTTATGCCATGGGACATCGTGCAGCTGTTTTATCTCTTTGCTTTGCCCTTACATTTCCCATCAAGTTTATCAGTTGTCACTAAGTTTTCCAGTTTATTTATTTTCTACCCAAAATATCTTAACAGTCTTTACCTAATTTTTCTATTCAAGGCTTTCATTATGTAATATTTTTGAGTTTTTGGTCTACTGGTTTTACTTTTCATCTGGTTTGATATCTTTTCATATTTGTTTCTTGAAGGAATGCTTGTTTTTCTGTCTGTTCATGATATTCTTAAACCGCATCATAACAATGAGGTTTAGGCTCTAACTCTTTCAGGAACTTGTCTGTCTATGTTAATCAGGGAAGTGATCACCACAAGTAGAGGATGAATCAATGCTGTATAGATTAGGTTATAGATAATGATGAGTCATTGATGCCAACATGATTACATGACCTGAGAGTAAAGCCTAGTGAAACATGTCCATGCCATCTTCAAGATCAAGATAAAGGACATTATAATAAACTTCTGATAGAAAGTCATTAAAGGTATCTCAGAATGGCTGCTGCATCAAAGAACTCGACATGCATGGGAATGCCTAATGTCCAGTGACCTCAACTGAGTTAAGTCAAGAATTGAAATAACAGCACTAGGGGCATTCCCATGTGTGCTCTTTCCTCATCTTCAGCAGCCAGCGCAGAGTTCTATTACTGATAGTACCAGTCACAATCTGGTTATATGTCTGTCTTGCCTTTCCTCTGAGTGTAGTCAGCCGGCCCCTCTGGCTACACCCAGGTGCATCATTCTTTCTAGGCCATAATAATCTTGTTTCTCTACTACTAATTCAACAGTGATAATATAAGAGACTCAGCCAATTATGGAAATGAGGAAAGTGTAGACTATAAAGACGATTTTTTTTTAAAGAGATGGACATCAGCTGAAAACTCCAGCTGAAAGTTGTGACTGATTTGTTTAATTGTTCATCCACTTCTGAACTTTAGTTTTTTTTCAGAACTTCAGTTCTGTGTGCATATTTCTTTTACAGACCTGGTTTACTTGTGTGCAGACAATTGTTTTCTTGTCAATCAACCAGATGCACCCTGACTTTGAAGGACAACCACTATTTAGTCCCCTTTTATGTCCGGCTTATAGGGAAACAGTGGGTCTATTCTTGTTCCCCAAAAATGGGACCCAACAATTCTCATGGGGAATGTTCTTGATATTGATGACCTCTAATATAATTCAAGTTTACAACTGTGTAGAAATAGTGTACTATCTTTAAGTAAGTAGTAAGTAAAGGATCATTATAATGTTATTGGCTAACTGGGCATATGATGCTAGATCTATATGTTTATAGACCAATGGCACTCATCAAAGGATGTGGTGAACATCCTCTAGGTCACCTTTACTTCCTATGACAAGGCTATTTAACTGGTAACAGATGATGGAAGAAGCGAAACATAAATCAAAAAGAGAACAGGAATGGCTAAAACTGTCTTCAATAAGATGCACAAGTTGCTGACAGCTTAAGAGATAAACAAGACACTAAAAACAAGAATCATCAATGTTATGTATACTCAGTACTGCTATATGGTACAGAAACTTGGACAATGAATAAGCAACTGGAAAAATGAATTGAGTCTGGAGACGTGGGTATACGGAAGAATAGACCATATTCATGGAAACAAAAACAGTCCAATACACAGATTTCGGAAAGGCTACAAATAAAAAGAGAATTACCAAAAGAAATTAAACAGAGACAAATGAAATACTCTGGTTTCATTAAAGAACATAAAACGCTTTTAAAAACCATACTGGAGGGAAAGGTCGAAATCAAGAGAGGAAAACATCAAGAGACAGATGGGCAGCAGCCTGAGAGTTATCTGGTAATCTGCCTGAGAGTATGACAAGGGACAGAGCACGTTGGAGATCCACTACAGACAGCCTTCACTGTGGAGTCAGCACCTGATTGACTGAGACTAAGCTTGTCACTGGCAGAGGTCCAGCAAGTGTCCCATTGACCTTTGCCAATTGAACTTGGTTAATAATCCTTCTATGCTGGGGCTTTGGATCTCTGGCCCATGATGATCCTCACTGTTGACATTTTGTTTCCTAAGTAAACCTGGATGGACAGCCATGTCCTTGTTTGAAAACGGAGAACGTCACGGGCCAGATGCCTGAGTACCCTAGCATACCATAGCTACTGATCATCTGTTAACCTGCCAAAACAGAATATGTTGAACAGAAATAAAGTTCAGCCCCCAGAACAGTGTTGGTTGGAATAAATCCTGTTTCTTATAAGGTTTGAACCCACCACTGTCTTGGCAGTCAAGAATGCTAATCACTATACTGCAAAAGCAAGCAAAGGTAACGGACCCTTTTTCATGCTTACAGGCCTATTGAGCATTTAGTGCTTGACCTATATTTTATAGAGTCCTTGAGTTCCAGCATAGAAAGATCACAGAACTGGCAATGATTTGCGGGCCACTTAATAGGCCTCGCTGGCCAGATGTGGTCCGCAGGCCATCAGTTGAATAGCCCTGTCCAAGGCCATTACTCAGTACTTAGTTTAGACTGGGTTAATGTGGCAGCCAATTTCCTTTTATAAAAATCAGCTGTAATTAATTATGTATATTAAAATACAACCATTAACAAGTGAAGACGGTCACTGTACCTTCCACACTGATCAACTGTCCACAGTAATGAAGGTCCTTTGGCCTGAGTTCTGTAGCATATTTTAAGAACCGCTGTATCTCTGCCATCCATAATATAAGGCAAGGAAATCAAAACACTATGTTCAGTAACTGTGAACTCCAAAGAAACCACCTGCTGCGTATGAAGGCACATATAAATGTTATGGTAATAGTCCATATGTGTATGTGGAATCTGTAGTTTAGCACCTGACAATGATCCTTGTTCTGTGCTAATGAAAGATTCAGTATCTGGTAAAACTGGGTATAAAACACACGATGAAATATCCAGAGCAAAACAGTCCAGGCACACAGATGTTTTTGATTCTTTGACATTGCAAATATTCTTGTAAAGTTCTTGTTTTTGAAGACATTCTAGCTGTGTTGAGTTTTCTGTATTACTTATAACATGTGTTCTGGCCAGTACTGAATCAGTATTACTGGACATCTTGCAAAATAATGTCAGCTCACAATCAAATTCTTTTTTACTGATAGAACATGCCATGTCGAGGATAAAATGCTGAACTTTTACTTTGTGAAAATTTGAAGATAGCGGCAAATCACTGTTGTGCTCCATATCTTTTATAATTGTGTTTTTATTGTCCATTTTTACTGCAGAAATTAAGAAGAAATGTTGAAAGTAAGGAGTTGAAAGTAAGGAGTTGAAAGTAAGGAGTTGAAAGTAAGGAGTTGAAAGTAAGGAGTTGATAACAGAGATGGTCAATCAATGAAATGTGTCTGCAATGAATCTCTAAGAGTTAACGCACTCAGTATCCCAAGCTCAGTAGCTGTAACTCTCTGACTGTTCTTTATTAGTCTCTTCATGTTATCTTCCCATTTGTATCAATGTTTACCTTTGGTTCGACTACTCTCAACGTCCCCCTTAATTAACATGGTTAAACATGCATTTTTTATTTTTTTCTTACTCGAGCTTCACATCACTGATCATTAAGTATTTCCATCTTAATTTATAATTGTAATGTAAAATATTAATTTTCGGCTCTCCTAATTTTCTAATAAACTACTAACTACTAACTACTACTAATACTACGGGTAACCTTATTTTCTAAAAGAAATGATTCGATATTATTATCTTTCTGTTGTTAATATTCTCGTCTGCTCTGTCTACAATGCGGCATAATCCAGACAAATGTATTTACGATCCATATTTGAATAATTCATTCATCCATTGTAAACATATAGCGATGTACAACAGTGCTGACTTTTTTGTTTGTGGTTGTTTTAATATTTGATTCGATAAATATTGATTCATATTTTATAAGTGTATGTTATAGTACTTAAAATAAACTATACTACGGTGATTGTGTCAAGAACAGTTTTAAGTTTGAAATTAAATATATATTATATATAAAGTTTTTAAAATGTTACACAATTATATCCTGATCAACATATTTTAATTGTGTAAATAAATATTTTAATTATCATTGGCCTGTTTATCTAGTTATACTTTTTATTATACTCGAAAAGCGTCCATAGTTACTACTGATGCACTTCCTTTTTGAGGAAACAAAGTTGAGGTAGAAGCGCGTAGTGTCAACATTCACTTCATTGATGAGTAAGCGAAACCATCCTGGATCTTGTAAAAAACGTCTACCAACCCAGAAGTCAAATTCTATCATTCAGCCGCCCGTTATGGCAGAATCAGGAGGCGACATTTTACTGAAAGGCGATATCATTGATCATGCAGAAATGATGAGGAAGTTAATTAACAACCCAGAATACAGGTCGCAGCTTTAATTTTTTTTTTCAACTTACTTTTATTAATATTTTTACCAATGCTGCACTTCTGTCTCTGCAATCTATCTACATTTGTTATCTGAAACCCATTTGGGTCAAGCACAGAAATTGAAGTACTCTGGAAGTACTTACTCTCCAAGGCAGCAGAACCGGTCTTGCATTGGATACCAGCCCACTGTGGTATTCAAGGTAATGAGAGAGCAGGTGAGTTGGTAAAAGCTGGGAGAAATCTTCCACAACCTCATCCACCACACAGCTACAAGGAAACAAAAAACAGCTAAAGCAGTCTTTCAAGTGGGAGTGGAGAAGGCAAAATGGAGATTACAGACCAGAGAGTGATAGCATAAACAAACTCAACAGGAAAGAACAAACATCAATTTTTAGACTTCGGACTGGACACTGTGGACTTTGATCACACCTGTACAGGATAGGCATAAAAGAATCTGCTACCTGTGATTTTGGAGCAGAAAGACAGACCCCTGGGCACATACAGCCCTTACCTCTCCTAGCAAAGACTGTGGATCTGGCCCAGGGGATCCACATTTCGAGAGAAGCTATGGGGGACCGGTGGCGACCTTGAACGCACAATTCTATTTTTGACCCAGACGGGACTCAATGTTTAGCATGACTGATGTCGAACGCAGAAGAAGAAGAAGAAGAAGAAGAAGAAGAAGAAGAAGAAGATCTCAGATGGATAGATAACAGAAGATAACGTGTGACTTCTCTGTATCATCTTTTTTCTTCTTAAAGTGAATACCGTTTGGCGTTGGTAGTCTTGTCATGTCTGTCCACAATCTTCTAACTCGTGTACTTTCAGTCAGTTCTGACATAGGTGATCTTCAGTGCCATGATGTTAGGCAGCCAACAACTTCTCTCTCAGTCTCCCACTGCCTCTCTTTCCCTCCAATTATTTGACTGTCACGATGTAGTCCAGTTTTCTCCTTATGATATGATTAAAGAATGTCTCCTTCTCATGTAGACAGTGAGTTCTCTTATGGAATCAGAACACTTTTCAAGGGAAAATACAAGGAACTGTGGAGAGAACAAACTAATAGTAAACATCCACAAGACCCCATCAGCAAACAGAAAGCAACATACAAACATTTTCTGTCTACAAACAGGACACTGCAAGCTCGAATACCACATGCATAAAATAAAGACTTACAGTCCTCACACTGTGCCTGTCAAACAGGACCACAAACACCCCAGCATATTCTGCAGACCTACCCACTCTACCTACAACTTCGAAAAGAAACATGGCCTCAATGCGAGTTTGTAGAGGCAACCCACCTGATGATCTGATCTGAGAATCTGAAACCGAGAGCAAAGAAGAAGAAGAATAGTTTCTCTCAAGACATCATCATTACTCTTTTTGTCTGTCCAGCGTATTCTCAACATTCTCAGTATCATGGAGGTAAAATAAATAACAGAATATGTCAAGCTCACAAGCACAGTCTGCATTTTATAGGATGTGGAATGCAGTAAATCCCTGTCACTCGAAATTAGAAAAAAGTATTTTCACTGAAACAATTTTCATTTGGAATTGTGAATCCTGAACAACTGGTTAAACTGCATTCTGCCCCATTAGACTTCTGCTTACAGAGACCTTTTGGCCTGATATGAGAACAGTGACATAAATTCTTTATCACAAATAAATAGTTTATGAAGCAGCTTTGTGCTTTTAAGTGTCAAATGTAATAGTTAAATAAATGATGCATATTTCTTCATGCTAATTAATTATTTTTGATCTCGTTGTTCACAGTGATCTTAAATTCTACATTGGACCAAACCGAAAAATAATTTATGCCCATCGCTGTATTATGTCAGCCAGATGTGCTGTTTTTAAAGCTATGCTTGCAGAGAAAAATAACTCTGATGAAAAAGATGTTCCTTATGTTCTGCCTGACGTGTCTCCATCCATTTTTCTTGCCATGCTTGAGTTCATCTATACAAACTGTGTCACACTTTCTCCAAACACAGTAAGTTGGTTTTGGATTTCTATTAATTCCCCCTGGTCTCTGGGTAGTGAGATCGGACCCCCGCGTGCATTGTTGTGCACGTAGAAAATCCCTTGGCAGTTAGAAATCAACTTGCCCGGTCAAAATTTGGAGTTAAAAATCTATCCGAAGTATTTCAAGATCCCTGCCGGGGCTACAGAGCCTGTGCACTGTGCTGAGTTTCTTTGGACTTGAGTTAGAAGTAGAACGGAGCACTTATGGGTTACTACCCGTGTGCCATGATGTTGACCTGTTGTTCAAAACCTCAAACCGCAATAGTGGCACAAAACAGAATATGGACAAAAGAAAGAAAGGTCCACCCCAGAGCAGTATTGGCTGGAATAACTCCCTCTTCTTATGAGGTTTGAACCCACCACTGTTTTGGCAGTCAACCATGCTGATCACTATACCACAAAAGTAAGCAAAGGTGATGGACCTTTTTTCATGCCTTTAGACCTTTTGGACATGTAGCACTAGACCTGTATTTCAGTGAGTGATGTGGTCAACATCACGCTGGTTGCCTTTACTTCCCAGGACTCTGCCTGGTTCCCATTTAAGGCTTGGTCGACCTGGGAGTCAAGGTCATTTTTGAAAAAATCCATGACCTTCCTATCCGCAGGCGAGAGTGTAGCCACTACGCCACAGTGGCTCCTACTATACCACAGTTTTCCTTAGTAATAAAACTGGTATAAACATTGACTCTTTTTAAATGATTTGGAATTTGGAATTGGTTTCCTTAACAGGAGTCTACTCCAGAGCTGATCGTATGTTCTTGTGGGAGCCACAAGAGGTGAAGATGATAATCATCATGGTTTCCTTTGAAGTCGGAGTGCATCTGCCTGAGAGACAAGGAACCAACAGTCTGCATTCAAGTGAATCAGATCTGTAAAATTGATACACAGGCAACACTCAGGTTCTAGAGCAGGACTGCAGTTCAGAAGTGGGTGAACAACCAAAACTTTCTGCCAGAGTGTACAGCTGGTGAACAGGAAGAAGAAGAAGATAATCACGATGATAACATAAAAGATAAGAAGCGGGAAGGTGTTAGTTAGTTAGTTAGTTGGGTTATCCACATTGCACTCCGGACATGTCCATAGGTGCTCAGATCCTCCCCTCAGAATGAACCCCAACGTCCGATGGCTAATAGTACCAGTACTATGTTGATTAACAAGTCTTCTGGCGTGTCTGGTGTGCGTCTCGTTTTTTGCTGTGCCGATCTTAATTCCCAAGTCTGCCATTCTGGCGAGTGATGTGGATTCACTGCCACCAAAGTCCTCTATCCTTCCCATTTCTCTGAGGGCATTGATAATATCAGCATGATCCATAGGCTGACCGTCGGTAGTGATAGCAGATCCAGCCAACCTGTCAGCTCTTTCATTTCCATCGACGCCTGCGTGTCCCGGAACAAAAATAAAGGTGACTCCACGCATAGTGGACTTCTGTAATGATTTAAGCCATTGTCTTCGCACTGAACCTGCCTGAACCCTCCGGATCATACTCATTGAATCACTGAGTATACACACGCGGGTGTATTTTTGTGTTTCAAGCCAGGCAAGCGCTTGCGTCACTGCCATCACCTCCATCGTCATGCTGCTGGTTGTCATGGAGAAGGCACCGTTGGCTTCTTTGACTGTTCTGCCTGCTGAGCGTGCTGTAAATGCCCATGCGCTTCTTCTTTGGCGTATAACGGATCCGTCTGTATAGATTATTGCATCTGCTTCGTCTGAATTTTCACCGATGAGAGCGTTGACCTCTGCATTAACAGCAACAGGATTCTCTTCTCTACATCGCCTGTTGAGTGTGACAATACAGGAAAATGTACAAATAAACGCCTGAGGCACAGGTATCCATTCTGCACCAGGTATGATGTCGGTTAGGCTGCATATTTGCCTAATAACATCTTCTGGGAAGGTGTTACTGAAAGCTAATGTATTATCTCATTCTGTAATAAACTTAATATAAAGGAGTGTATAGAATTGTATGTATTCATCCACAGGCAACAGATCTTTTAGCCACTGCATTAGAATATGGGCTTGATGGTCTGAGAGATGTAAGTAATGTAGAATATATCCTGTGACTTCAGTATATTTGTAAGAGATTTCTTCATTACTACACTCAACACAAATATATTGCGTCTGCTTGAAAGCTATCAGATGTTCTATTTCTGCCTGTCTCAGCCTTTTTTTTTTTTTTTCAAAGTCAACGAGTTTCTTGACTTGGCTGTAATTGGATTTTTCGTGAACAGTCAATGACTGGCCAAATGTAATCATTAACGATTTTTCTTTTTTTTTTCTTTTAAATCTGGAAGATTGTCTTGACAAATGTATGGTATTCACATCAGCATATAACCAGAAAGAATGTAGTTCATGTAACATTGAATGTACGAGTTTTAGAAGGCAAAATTCTAAAGACTGACACGGAAATTGGCAAGAATTCTTTATATGGTAAATCATTCATTGTATAGTATATATAAAGTTTGTGCTTTGCAAATCTTGTATTTATCTGGTATAAATTTCATTAAATTTTAATTTATGTCTGTTTCTACTGCTTTTCATTTTCTAATGGAGCCTAGTTCCTTAACCAACTTATACCAAGTCCTTCACAGAATTGGGCAGCGAGTTCTCAGCCACTCTCACACTAACTCATCTTAGTCACCTCTGATGGTAATCATGGCTCATTACTGTCGCCCAACTTCTGAGTTGGATGCATGGTGTGACACTGTGAGCTGCGGATTGCATTTGGAATATTTTTTCGACTGTGACCAACGTGTTGGTGTGAATTGTAGATTCAGAAAATGGCGCGATGCCTGTCGTGCAGTGTTGTGGTGCCCGTATGTGATTAAAATTGATCGCGTGGGCAACTGCTGATCTGTTGGCCACTTCTGCTACCATCAATGATGAACTGCAATTCTAATACTGTGATAAACATTCTGTGTGCTTTTCGTTGGCACAGGAGCGGAGCAAAGATGGGGTGACCCGTTTGCTTTGAAGCTGAAACTAAGACTACCAGACTACCTGGGTTGTAACTATTTTGTTTACTTCTGTTATGGCCATGGAAAGACTCAGGCATAATCAAAAATGTAATCAAAGATGAGTGAAAAGTAAAGAAAAGGTCCCTTTTCTAAGCCTTTAGGCGTATAGGGCATATAGGGCTAGACCTATTTTTTTATAGACCAATCAGCACAAGATGGGTGATGTGGTCAGCATAATGCCGGCTGTCTTGACTTTCCAGGACTGCACCCGGTCCCACTCAAGGCTGGGTCGACCTGGGAATCAAGGTCATTTTTGACAAAAGTCCGGCTCCGCCAGGGAGCGATCCCACGACCTTGAAATCCGCACGCGGGCGTCTAGCCGCTATGCCACAGCCACTACCCTTTAAAGATAGTAATAATTATTTCAAATGATAATTGCATTTAATGATTTTCAACAGCTTTGTGTTGATTACCTGGTGACAAACTTGTCCGTTAGCAATGCCTGTGATGTGATGCAGTCAGCTGTGACCTACAACCAGAATGACCTCAAGGAGAAGGCCATTGTGTTTATTGAGGACAACACAGCAGTAAGTGGACAATAGCCTTGAACTGCTTATAGATTATTATGGATTCTTGTGTTATTGCATTAGTAAAAATCATCCACGAGGAATGACAATGACCACTGCCATCTGCTGGGGGCTGGAATGCACACTGTTCTTTCACAAGATGCTTAACGGTGAAATTGAAAGTTGGTGAGGATGTATAAGCAAAAGTAAGCTGTCATTTATTCTAGGAAAAAGAAATACAATCTGAAAGCTTAGCCTTGGTTGACAGCTGGTCTAAGATGGAAGCTGCGACTAACAGACAGTACCTGCTCTTCTGATCCGGCAGCTTCTGCAGCATAATATGCTCCAAACTTATTGGTGCCAGGATATGTTGGAGTGTTAAGAAGTAAACACACAGACAGACTTGCTGGTTCTGCACCAGTGGCTGGTGACTTTATGTGTGACAGGCTTGATGTGGTTAAGGCCCTTTGGGAGCAAGTGAACAATACAGAGCCACGAATAAATAATTTTAGTCTATAATAATTATAGAAAGAATGGTACAGCTGGGAGTGACCTGGGGATCTGGTCGACACTGGACACTCAGAGGATAACCAAGATGGACATATAGTCAAACTACTACTGGCACCATCAGAATTGAAACTATTTGCTGGCTGCTGAAAATGAGGGCGGAGTGCTTGTGGAAATGTCCTGAGTGCCATAAGGTCAGTTGTTAGCTCAACACGACACTCAGCCAGACCATTCAGTTTAGAAACTAACTATTTTCACTTATGTTTAATGATTGCTTGTTGCAGGAAATTGTCAAATCAAAGAGTTTTCAGGAAATAAATGAAGATGCATTAGTGGCCATTTTACAGTCTAGCAGACTGACCATTGATGAGATGGATTTGTACAAGGCAGTGAAGGACTGGTCTTCAGTTAATTCTGTAAGTTATGTGCTGTTTTATTGTTGCTGCTGCTGTTTTTTGGGTGTCTTTTGTGTTGTGTAAACTAAACAGCAGTTGAAGTATACAGTTCATCATTCATTGAATGCCAATTGTTCATCATTATCATCATTGTCCCATAACACTTTGTGTCATTGGGTCACCAGTTACAGTTGACTGATCAGCTCCCTCTACATATGACAGTCAGATATGATGGACTTCATGGTGGCATACTTAAGGCAAGTACAGTCGGTCAAGTTCTGTATCCAGGTCTTTCTTGGTCTGCCTCTTCTCCTGTTCCTCTATACCGATCCATGTGGTATTGTTTCCAAGAGGCTGTTAGATCTTGTTACATGTTTGTACCACTGCATTTTCCGTCTTTTCACTGAGTTAAATTTGTATATAACGATAACAACAGCTCAATATACCCAATAAATGAAAGAATAAATTAATCAAGAATTAATATCACTGCGCTTGGGGCATTACCACATGAGGTCTGGACCTCTTCCTCATTAGCCATTTAGGAGTTCTTATACTGATGTTGCCAGCTACAACCTGACTAAACATCTGCCTGTCCTTTTCCCTGCTGGTTGAGAACCATTCAGGCCACCTGCTCACTTTCAAGGTATGGGTACTGTGTTCCGCTGCACTGCTCACTTAGTTCCAGAGAGCCTCACAATGTCCACTTTATTGTAAAGATCTAGCTACTAAACCACAAGCCAAAGAAAAGACCCTTTTAATTGTATATTTATGTTTGAATTATCATGTATAGTCACTCTCTCTGTCTCTGTGTGTGTGTGTACATATATAGGTGTGTGTGTGCCTGTGGGTGTAAATGTGTGTATATGTATGTGTGTGTTCATTTTTGCATGTTGTTTGTGTTTGTCTTTGTGTGTGCATGTGAGTGCTGCCAATTTCCTTCAACATAGTATATTTGCGCCTGCAGTGCACTTGTTGTGAACACTCCTGCACACCTGCAGTGCACTTGTTGTGAACACTCCTGCATGCCTGCAGTGCACTTGTTGTGAACACTCCTGTGTGCCTGCAGTGCACTTGTTGTGAACACTCCTGCATGCCTGCAGTGGCCTTGTTGTGAACACTCCTGTGTGCCTGCAGTGCACTTGTTGTGAACACTCCTGCGCGCCTGCAGTGCACTTGTTGTGAACACTCCTGCATCAGCCAAAACCAAAGCTGTACCCTGTAGGGGTTCTAGGACCATATTTTTATGGTTATAAAACAATTGACACATTCCCACAGCAACAAACATACTCTAAAAGGCGACTAATTTAGGGTTTGCAGAGATCATTTGTATTCGACCAAAAGGCACAGTTATTCCAGGCTAGCTGTTAACGCTAGTACAGTGTGCTAACCAACCTTTCAACTTTGTTGGTCCCAAGCAGTGCATTGTGTCTGATAAACTTTTTCTCATGAATCCCAGACATCATGTAATGTGTTCTTCTACTTTTTTGTATTTGATCCTAGAATACTAAAGAAATTTGGCATACCCAGTTGCCTCTTTGAAAGTTTTGTACTTAACATTTTTCATAGTGAAATTTTTCTTAAGAAACTTCTATAACGGGTTCTTAGACTGAAAGAGTTAAGGGCAAACAAAGAAAAAATTGAAGAAGAAGAAGGAAACCAAAGCTATTATCTTTTATCTTCTATTCCATTACAGGTTGTTAATCGAAAGAAGATTCACGAGATGGCCAGAGAGGCTGTCAAACATTTACGTCTGTCACTGTTGTCTCCAAATGAGCTCACAGCATTGGAGGAAGAAAATAAGAGTGCTCATTTCATTCCAGTAAGTTATTGTCTTATCATTCTTCTTCTTGTACATTCGCTCTTAAAAGGGTTGTGTTATGGTTTACAACTAGGCTACAATATCTGTAACTTGTTAGCTCTATTGAGTTTTCTAGTCACAATTTGTGCTGTATTTAGTACTACTGTGCAAGATGTAAAACATTTGTGATTCAAACCCCTTCGGTCTGCTTCCTGAAGGGTTTATTTTACATTAGAGAAGCATTCTCTTGTGAATCGCATAATGTGATTTATGCTATCATCTGCAAATGGACATGTTTTACATCTTGTGTGGGAGCATTTGGAGGTACAAAAAGGAATTGCTGTCTGGATCGGAGACATTGTGCTTCTGACAAGTATGTTCTTAGGATTACGGTCTCACCTGTAGATCACTCTAGGGTTGTCACTAAATATCTTACAGGTGTCAGGATCAGAGCGAAGAATATTAAGGTTACGATGGAAGATTTTAGACACAGCCAAATTATTATTATGTTAAGATTAGTTTAGGTCTATCAGGGGCAGGTTTAGGTTTAGTGGGCATGGCCTCTCTCTGAGTGATAGACTGTGTACTTTTTTAAGAGCCTCCATGAGAATGTGTTCGGGGTAAAAGCGGGCATGGAAAAAATCCAGAAGCTCTCGTGCCTTACTCAAGAAATCAGAGTCATTAGAACACAACGTACGTAGTTGAAGCAGTTGAGAGAATGGTATAGAATTTTTGCAAGAGAATGGCTGAGAGGCTGTATAGAGAAGATAGCAATGAGAATCAGTATGTTTATAATAGGCACAGGTGGTTAAGAAAGGAAGGTTGATGCTAACTTTGATGTTTAAGAAATTCACGGAAGTTGTGGAAATCAGAGAGTTGGTATTACTGAAATGCCAAGAGATGAACTCGACCAATTTATTTTATCAGCACCTTTAATCCACTATTCAATTCACCTCCATGATTTCCTTGCGCTCTGAAGGTCATGGGTTAGGTTCACATACTGCATTTTTTGGGTTTGTGGGTGATATCGCAAAGGATTGTGGCTGGAGCTACAAGGTTTTGTATAATATACAAAGTAGACGGCTAGCCAATATGCAGAAAGAGACTGAGCCAGATGAGTTAACACCCAGTGCAATGGGGTCGATCCTCAACTCTACGTTGGTTAAAACCTTTTGCCTAATTACTGAATGGAACACACTTCCTATAATGTCTAAGGCTGGAACTGTAATCAGTTATCCACACACTCTTCACTAATAATTCTAGTGCAAACAACAAAGATATAATGCTGAGTGTGTATTTTTTCTATCTTTAGGTGGAATCATTTGCCTATGCTTGGAAGATGCATGCTCTCAAATGTGGTGACAGCGACAATGTTTTGTCCAGACTACGTCGAGGGACGGTCTCAAGGGACCATCATAAATATCTCTCAATGAAGAATACAGAATGAACAAAGATTCTTCTTCTTCTTCTTCTGTCTCACTGATACCAGGTTCTAGTCCAGTGTCATGTTTTTCTGTATTTGTTTTGCTATTCTCAGGTGGCTTGAGGGATGGATTTGTTCATCTTTTTGCAGATTTCAGCTACACCATTTATCCATATCTTTCTTGGTCTTCTTCTCACCTTCCTTCCAGATCCTTCTACCGTAAAAAGTCCTACATTTGGTCTGGTCTGGCTAAACCATTTAATATTTTGTTTGTCAGCATAATCCAGACATGGTCTTTTTTCCAACTTTCTCTCTAATACTGGTTGGTATTCGTAACCCTGTCTAATCTTGTGTCTTTAAACAGACCACTAGTGAGGTGCCTTTTAGTTCATTTTACCTTTTTGACTTTTATGTTTAGGTTGATTGTTTGACTATGTAATTATGGAGTGCCACAATTGCATTATGGCTAAATGTTTGCCGGCAATCCTGAAGGTGTAGGGTTCAAATCTGCATCGAGGATGTTTTTTACATTGACCTTGGCTCCCAAGTTGACTGAGCCAAAATGCCTGATGCAGTAAAGGTGTGAGAATGTTCCTGTATATTTAAACTTTTATGTTATTGGGAATTTCAGCCATAAGCACGGTTTTGTGTGTGTGTGTGTGTGTGTGTGTTAGTGTGTGTGTGAAATGCAGCACCTGCAATTTATTAGGCATTGTTTTTTATGTTGCTTATTTATCAGTTCTCGTTATGCCAAGTGGCACATGAGGCCTCAGAGAGGACTTTCCATGCTTTCCTGTCCTGTGCAATCTTCAGTGAAGTTTTCCATGTCAAAGATGCCGCACTTAGGTCACTTTCCATGGTTCATCTCCATGTTGTTTTTAGTGCCCCTGTTTTCTCTTTCCCTCTGGTGTCCATGTGAGAGCTGTTTTGGTGGGTATATCAGGATTCATTCTCATAACGTGGCCAAGCCATTTCCATCTTCTCTTGGTTATCATACTGTCTATAGTTTCTTGGTTTGTGACTTAAAGTAGTTTAGTGTTTGAGATTGTATCTGGCCAGAAAATTTAGATAATTCTACGTAGACATGTGTGGTGGAAGGTGGACAGCTTGTGTGCATCCTTTTTGGTCATTCTCCAGCATTCCGCTCCATAAAGATGAACTGTTGGTCATTATCGGCATCTGTTTTTACACTTCAAGGTGATTAACAGTACCTTTGATTCTAGAACTAAAAAAAAACCTGGTGATAATTGTGTTATAGTTAGGAAATTAGATGGGTTCTTGGTTGTCAAATTTGTTAAATTTTTTTGTTAAAATAAATATTGTGGGGAGTTTTTGTATGTGTTTGTGTTCATGCATATTCTTGTTTGTTTTGTTTATTTGTTTTAAAGGTGTATGTGTGAGGAGAGTACTGTATTCATCTAAGGAGTTTAGAAAGAGACAATGTAGTGGTTTTAGTAATTTTCAAAAGATTTTTTAAAAGCTCCTCTTCATCAAGGAGCTGTGGCCCACGAAACTGCTGGAACTGCAGCAGCACTTCAGTCAAAAAACATGCCAGCAAAGACACTGAAGCAAATCACCAGAGAGATGCGGCTTCAATTCCCAGTCCACACTGCTCAAGAAATTTCAGTGCTAGAATTGGCCTTATCAGCCATCTGCGCACTCACAAAACCTAATCCAGTCACCATTAGATGAAAGGACTGGTCATCATCACCTGTGATGGACGAACATGAACAAAAGATGTAATTTTAGATTCAGTGATCAAGTATTTCAGGACTGGTTTTGTTTTACAACCTGTGCTCCAGAGTCGAACCAGCCTAATATGGGTACCAGGAAGTGCTCAGAATAGTACAAGCAATTAGCATTATATTCACCACATCTTAGATAAAGTTTAAATGATGTTTCCAGGGGCCATATATAGGCATGGGCAGCTGCACAAGGCAGCCATATTGTCGGAGGTGACACAATATCACTAGTAGCAAATTGACTGACTAAACTGAAAAATAATGTGATATAGTTTTATACAGGCTTTTAAACTTTGGTGACCATTTTGCTTGTGTTGTCCTTATTTTTTCATCTTTAGAATAATTTACACATTTTTAATCTGCCTATTTGTTTTTCTGTTGTGTATTCAGTTAAGTTTAAATACTTCAGAACAATTTAATTTTGAAGTAAATGAATCCATAACGTATTGTTGGGTAATAATTTGAACAAAGAAGATACAACCAATAGATTGCCCATACTTGCTTAATGTACATTTCTGAAACAATATTTGTTGTAATGTTTGCTGTTATTTGCATTTAAATGTCTTCATCTATAGACAACCATCAGTTAATATATGATAATAACAATTTAAGACCTACAATTATTGTTTTTTTTTAGAAAGAATCAGTTCACTCATTCCATCCAGGAAGTTTTAACTGACACTCAGAGGAGTGCTAGGGGTGGAAACAGTACAAATAACAAAACTACACGTGTTACTCTGACAGAGGTCAAATGTGAATGCCATGGGTATCATGCACGCCGCCACAACAAGGACCTGGGAACCCAAAAAGGGGCGTGGGGAGTCCCCTATAATTTTCTTTGAATGGAGGGGAGAACTGAAGGTCTTTAACCTTGTTTAATCATATTTATTATTATTTTTGTATGCTGAACAGTAAATAAATATAATAATTTACTGTTTTGGCTAAAGCCTTGTTCTTTTTCTTTTTGTGACCGCTTTCTGATTTACAGACAAAGTGGGATTTTTTTTTTTTTTTTTTTACGTATCCAGAAACCATGAGTTGTAAACCCTTTGGCTCGGTACTATGGATATCGCAACCCTTCGGCATTGATTCCATTATAGGTACCGTTAATCTGGGAGAAATGTGGCTTTTCTGCCTACCCCCGGGAGTGAACCCGGACCACAAGGAGTTTGTCACCCGGCCGCCGCGAAAGTCAGGTTTAACCAACTTCGCTAGAGAGCCGGGCGACAAAGTGGGATAAACATGACTGCTTTTTCATTCCCTTTTAGTTCCATACAACTTTGAGTGCAGTGTTGACTCAGTGGGCCAGTATTCAATTCTTGTTTAATTGTGCAGTAATAATAATAATTAGTATTATTATTTTGTGCTAAACAGCAAGTAAATATAATAATATATTTGAAATGTATTAACATGGCTGGGGGGGGGGGGGGGGGGGGGGGGGGGGGTGTCTCAAAGCACCCAGTTCTAGGCTTTGGTGTTTTGCATTTTTGCCAACCAATCAGAAACCATAAATTAGTCACTTTTTATGACTGGCTGGTTAAGGGGGCAGGGGTCCAAGAATCTATTCGTGGAAAATATGTACACAAAATACATAGCCAGATTTCTTTAGTGTGTCTGACTGAACATAAGAAGCACTAATGACGCATGTCACATTGATTGGGATACAGGAAGAAAAGACATCCTCAAGACAGTAGTACCAGTTACCACACAAGGCGCTACTCCTGTGAAGACGGAAATGAGAGGAGCAAGAGGTGATCCAAGAAGAACATTGACTGATGATATTATAGACATTGTCCAGCCACCCAAGTTAAAATAGCTAGTCAGTCAATCAAACCTAATGCTGTCTCCTTGATAAAGCTTAACTGAAATCCTGTACTAGGAACTAGGACAAAAACTAGGTACAAAAAAATCAAGGATCAACATGCCCTTTTGCATGGCTCCTTGTTGGTCCAAATTATCAAATCCAGCATGTATGTCTCACGTATATGTTTGTTTTAGATCTGCTAGGTTACATTCCAACCCAGTGTTACATTCCCAGCTCAGTGTTACATTCCAACAAGCATGTGCAAGTAGGTGTACCAACTCAAATGAAGGACAGAAAACTGGAAATTAAATTCACGAGCATAGTACCATATAAGACAGCGGTTCTCAACCTTTAGGTCAGGACCCTTTTAGATGTTTAACGACTCTTTCACAGCTGTCACCTTATACCATCAAGAAACATATTCACTGAAGTTATGAAGTAGCAACAAAAAAATAATTTTATGTTTGGGGTCACCACAACATAAAGAACTGTATTATAGGGTCGCTGCATTAGTAAGGTAGAGAACCACGATCCAGGACGACTAGGTGCATGCATTACCCTGTTGTACCATTGTGTGTCTCATAGGGCTCGCAGTCTTTTCCTTCATTCCATTCTATCCTGTGCAGACATTAAATATCATGGATGGAATCCAGTCCAGCAGCTTTGGCCTCTTTCACCAATGTTTGTCTTAGCGTTTCTTATGTGTGTCCTTGCCTCCTTAATTCCTTTATTTCCCATTTTAATGCCTGTTTGGTAATTCTCTGCTGGTTTCTTCTCAGGATGTGTCCACTGTAACGCCATCTTCACTACTTTATAACTGTTGATACTAATGGTTGCCTAGACATTTCTCTGATTTCTTCACTCCTTTTTAATTCATCTGACATCATTTTATTTTCATCGTTATTCTCAGACATTTGTTTTGGAATGCATTTAACTTTTGTTCCATATCTTTAACAGTTCTCCAACTTTCACATGCAAAATGTTAAAAACGAAATAACTTTAGATTTGAAAATACGTAACTTGGTTTTAAAACAATACAGTTTAGAGTTCCAAATTTTTTTCAAGCTATTAAAAGCTGGTGATGCCTTGCCAATTTGTGTCAAATCTTTCTTTAAATTGTCCATCACTTACAAAACTACTACCTAAATAAGTACATTGATTTATTATTTTTATAACTGTTGTCTCTACTGTTACGTCTGCTTGATCTGTTGTTGGTGTCTTTAATAAATTTGCCTTTTCATAACTTATTTGTAGTCCAACCCTTGTTGATATATTTGCTAAATCATTAGTTGTCCTGTGCATGTTATTGCTGTTGTTTACTTACCAGAACAACATCATCAGCAAAATCAAGATCTACCAACTGTGTGTTCTCCAACTAGTCAATGCCAGAGTTTCCAACATAACAACAATTATTTGTGGTGGGGGGTGGACCTCAATGGACTCTGGCACCTGTATACTCTCTCTCTCTCTCTCTCTCT